CCTTTCTCCTGGAAGTGGGATTGTCCTGCTTCTCCTATTTGTAGTACAGCTGAGACTGTATAATAGAAAAAGGGAGGATTGCAAAAAGACAAAGCTTCTATTTTCTTTCTGGATTTTCAGGTCCCTGACTAAACAGGCAACACTCAGTTCCACCTCCTTTCAGCAAAATTCTGTCCCACATAAGGTAATCTCTGGAGATATTTGTTCATTATACTTGCTCATTAAACACCCTTTTACAATTTCTTCTTACAGTAGGTAGACTTATGAACTGAGCTGTGGACAACATCCATGGGTCAAGAGTGCCCATGTATATATTTTGTAGTACTAAAATTTTGCTTTAGGTTTATATATCTGTAAACAATATTTTTAGTAATGGGAATATTCTTTAGGTCTATGTGTTTACATATATTTTTTTCATGGGAAAGATTATAAAAGTTCAGTAAGACGCCTGAAGGAAGATGGGGGAAAAGAATGTATTGCTGCTCTAACACTGAGAAAGGCTAATTCCAGATCAGGATCAAACAAATGTGGATTTTTTTATGAAAGGGAGTGAGTGGGAAGTGGAATGAAATTTCTAAAGTCCTGCCATTTTCTAAATGAATTTGTCAAAACTTCCCACAATGTCTCATGCTGCAGCTGCTTGTTTCTTGGGACCCAGAAGCCTTGTTAACCTTGGCTGATGCTGGAATGAATCCCCAAAGTCCCCGAACAGGCCCATGTGGCTGCAGTTAGTAGCATTTTCCCATTGCATCTTTTCCATCAGAAAACAGAAAAATCAACACACTTCTGCGAAATAGCCTGGTCGTGTTAGAGCTGCATTTCCTATCAGCTCAGAGTTGCAGTGGGAAATATCCCAGCACCTCTAGTGATGAGGCCATGCTCATTTTTGGGACTTTGATGAGCTTGGTTAAACAACAGGTTGAAAATTACCTGTGAAGCAGGGTAATGAGTTAACCATCGTTCAATATGGACAGCATACCAGCCGGGTGTCAGGCATCTCTTCTGGAGGGTCCTTATCTCTGAGGACGCCCACTGGCTGGATGTAATGACTTCATAAAAATTGAATTTCAAGGCAGTAGGGTCCTCATGGGATCGCTGGTGCTAATGGGAGATATTAGGCAGGTATTACAAGGATGCTGAGGATGAAGCCATGAGCCTCCCAAGATCTGTTGGGAGGGCTGTACTGGCACAGTGGGAGGGGAGTTGAGAAGCCAAATTTTGCCAAAATATACACAATTTTTTACTGCTTTGCATCTTGCACATTGACAGTTGTAAAGGTGCAAGTGAGCTATTAAAAATGGTGCAGACTGCAGCCCTAGACCATGTTTTATTCCTTGCAGAAATCATAACACCAGTATCAGAAATGGCGTATTTTATGCTGATTGCAACATTAGTAATTCGTGTCTGTTTTAACTCTGCTTTCAATATGCCCTTTATCTGTATGATTACACCATATTTTACAAATATGTTTTTTAAGTAGAGTAGACTTTCTTATGCAAAGACATAGGCTTGGTATTGTGGTTTAAGCCCAGCCGGTAACTTAGAACCACACAGCTGCTCACTCACTCCCCCCACTTCTTTCCCCTCCCTCCTCCTGGAGGGATGGGGAGGAAAATCAAAAGAATGTAACTCCCATGGGTTGAGATAAGAACAGCCCAGTAACTAAGGTATAACACAAAATCACTACTGCTACCACCAATAATGATAATGATAAGTGAAATAACAAGGGAAGAGAATACAACTGCTCACCACCTGCTGACCGATACCCAGCCCAACCCGAGCAGCGATTTAGCCCTTCCAGGTAACTCCCCCAGTTTATATACTGGGCATGACGTGCTGTAGTATGGAATATCCCTTGGGCTAGTTTGGATCAGATGTCCTGTCTGCTTCCTCCCGACTTCCCCTCCTCCCTGGCAGAGCATGAGACTGAGAAAGTCCTTTGTCAGAGTAAACATTACTGAGCAGCAACAGTTAAGAACATGGCTGTTTTTTGTTCCCAGGCTGAAAGTCAAAAACACAGCTGAACCTTGAGACAAAGGGGGGGGGGGGGGGGCACAAAATGGAATATAGAAATCTTTAGAATTAGTTTTAGGTAATGTTAAGTTTGAAGGCTTTGTAACAGTAGCAATGGAAAATTACTGAGGTGCATGATACATAGAAAAAAAATAGAGTGCAGCTAGAGAACATACTGAGAATTCTCACAAGATAAATCGTTACAGTTGACATAGTTTTAAGAAAAAAACAGTTTAGAAGAACAGGACACAGGATAAGGAGTATCTGGGAGCCGCAGGTGTCCAGGATGGGTTACAGTTAAACTAACTGATAAGTAGGAGGATAGGAGGATTATTATGTTTCTGGTGCTAACGAACCAATTAAACTGGTATGAGCATCTACTGTGCATGCTTCAAAGGCTGCCAGAAGTGATGAAGATTGTTGGAGGAAGTAAACGACCCTCAGAGACCACCACCACAATTCTGTACGTATGCGGGGAACTTTCTGGAAAATTATGTAATCTGTATATAGCCTCATGAATATGTATGTATGCCCAGTGGCTATAAAAGGATGGTTTGTGTGGCAATGGGGAGACACACGTTAGGAGGAGCTATCCCCTGTGTCTCCCAGCGCCGCAATAAAGAATACCTGCTTGTCAGCTTGAAAACTTTGTTGGCAAGTTTGTTCCTGGAGTTTTCTCCAAATCAATTTGGCAAATCAAGGACACTTGGTAAAAGATAAAGTGCTTCCTAGAGTTTCCTCAGAAAAACAACAGGCTTTCTTTTTTTTTCCAAGGAAAGGAAAAAAAACCCTGTTCTCCAGGCACAGCCCTTTTTAACTCCATGGAAACTTTAGGAGGCACTGCATACATATGTACACCACCCCATGTAGCTTGGCTTACATGCTGGAGGATGGGATGATGTACCAGATTCTCAGCATCAAGAGAAAAGCTCTGATTTTCTAGCTAGTCTATGCTCATTTCTCCCATGTATTCCCCTGGGCGAGGCACACCACTTTTCCTCGATGCGGTGTCAGTTGTAATTGAGATTAAACTGTTTGTTTACAGCTGGTGGCAGCTCTGTGCTGAGAAGTTTCATCATTTATGACACCAGTGTCACAGATGCCAACTGCAAAAGCTGGCACTCAGCATCCTTCCACTTCTACAGAGTTCAAATTAGGTAACCCTAGTTCTTGCTCAAGGGGTTGCTCAAATTCCCACAAATGTTGGCCATCATCCCCTGCTGCTGATTTCTCAAAGGCAAGGTGCGTACCTGGTACCAAGAATATGCCCGATCAGATGGGTCGATGAGGATGGTGATGATCTTGGCCTTGGGGATGAGGGAAGCAGCTCGCTTAGGGGCATCCTCAGAATGGAAATAGTTGGCACTTTTCTCGAAGACGAGGTCAGTGGTGTTGGAAGGAATGGGGAAGAAATCCATGTACCTGGGAGGTGAAGGAACTCATTAGAATTAGCAAAAATGACAAAAGGGTCATATCTCTCTGCTTCCCATTTCCTTGTAGGTGAAAAGGTGGGTTTTCAGGCATAATGCTCAAGAAGAAAAGTTGAATTTCTCAGCTCATTCCAGAACTGGAATAGGGGGAACACATCTTGGCTCTTACATGGTATTGGTAATAGCCAAAGCTTCCATGAAGTCAGGTTTTTCCTTTGATGGATGGGATTTTTGCTAAGAAGTTCATCAGTTTGGAATGGGTTTGGTTTAGCTGCAGAAGAAAATGGGAAAAGCTTCAAAATGTCAACCATTTAATTTTTAACCTTGTCAAAATACTTCATTTTGGAGCCAGCAAATCTTTCCTTAGACATTTTCAGAATGTAAAATTTGAATTTTGGCTTTGAATAGTCTTTTCCACTTAAAACTGATTAGAATTAAAAGTAGAAGAGAAGGTTCAACTGAAAGGGTGAAAAATTCAAATGAAACAAAAGGTGAAATTTCTCTGGAGGTATTTTCGGGTCCCTTTGACTTCACTGAGCACCCTGGGGCTTCCAGTTTTGGTGGGACTCACTGTTTTTTGTCCTTCTATAGAAACAAAGTAGGCAGGGCTCACCCTCTGCCCAGGACCCCACTGACTTTGGAACCTGCAGGCCAGTTTTGGTGACGCCTGGCAGAAGGAGTCTCCAAGAGGGTGGCCAAGGCTGGCCTCTTCGTCTACGTGTTACACGGGGCTGCAGAGGAGAGAAACCCCCCTGCCCCACCACCACTCCTTCTTCGCCACATGTATTACACATGTAATGTAGGATGGCCATGGTGAACTTGCTCTTTATGTAGTATGGAACAACAAACACCAAGCATTTCTTTCTCTTTCCCCTTATTGTTTGTGCCACCTTGACCTGAGCAGCTGGTGCTGTGGCTGCCGCACAGCCTGCTTATATCAGTCAGGCCTGTTCACTCCACACACTGTCCATGCTGTATGCCAGCAAGGAAACCACTCCAGATTAACCTGTGGAGTGTGATATTTATCTTACATTTAGGCTTTCACACAAGGATGAGAACTGCTGAGAAAGCCTTACACAAATGCTTTTCTTAGAAATAAATAGTAAAAGCAATATTTAAAAGTATGATAGAAATACCATATGAAATGCTCTACACTTGTTTTTTTCTCAAGAAGAGACAAATCAAATGTTACTTCATGAAAAGCCACTTTTGAAGAAAGAGAGTATAATTCAGTATAGAAACAGTTATGAAAAGAGAGTTTCTATTCAGCATGAGGACAGCCATCATAACTGAGATGTCTATTGTGTTCATTGATGAAAAAATAAGAAAATTGTGACTGTGATATCTAAACAAAATTAAGGACTTGATTAAATGTCCTATCGTTACAAATTAGTTTCTTTTTGTTTGATAATGTCAAGCATAACAAATTCATCCAGTAATTATGTTGATGTCATACATGCTTCTGTAATTGTTCCATTATGGTTTACCATGTATTAACAATGGATGCTTCTTTTTTTGTTATTCTTCTTACCAGTCAATTCCCTTGTGATAGTTGTTTCCATTGAAGAACTGAACTTCTTCAAAAGTTTTTGGACTAGGAAGATTGCTGATAATGGAAGGATGCATCAGAAGAAATAAATAAAGGGCTGTTGTTCCTACAACAACAAAAAGAGATGCCATTAGGAAATAGTAAAAAAATCTCTACCTTTGACCTTATTCATTCAAGAAAGTACTTTAAATCAATGCATGCTGAGATATACAGGAAAAGTAGATTACCTGTTATAAGGAAGTTGCCTGTTGATGAAAAGCCTGTATAAGCACAAGGGGCTTTCAGAGGGATGTGGGATACATGCAGACTCTTCTGCTTTTTGAGCTTTTGTCATTTCCAAACCCTGAATTCTGCTGTGTGATACAAGCCTGATATTGCTGCTGAAGGCATTGCTTGCTTGACTCTGTATTTAAACCTCTGAGGCAATTCAGCCTGCACATCTTTGTTTTCAAACTATTCATGTTGCACAAAACTTCTCAAAAGCATTAACTGTGGGACTATGTTTTTGTTGCTCCCAGAACTGTCTTTTTGCCCTCTGTGCATTTGTTCTGGGGGTCTGCTACTGAGGAATAAAAATTCTGTTTCAATGCTATTAAGCCTGTATGTGGTAAGTATGCTTTCAAATCCCAGTAACAGTACTTATTCATTATTTGTTTGAGAAAAACAACTGGAAATGTTATATGGTGGTAAACAAAATTTTGGAGAATGTCTCTTTAAAATTGCACTTCCATATTTTCATGCTATGCAAGCTGTCATTGGACTATGGATTAAAACCTGCTGTCTCTGTCACTGTCACAGTATTTCTGTATGATCTTGGATTAGTCAATTATTTCCCTGCCTCAGCATCCTCTTTGTGTAGTATGTCCACAACAGTAATCACTATCTTGGGAGAGGAATTGGTGGCTTAATTTAAATAATGCCCTGAGACCCTCAGAGGTCTGCAGGGTGTTAAGTACATTTATTGTCAGGTTCTTAAACAATGTTGAAATAATTTGTCAAAGAACTTAATAGCAATCCTAACACAAGGCAGCCTGACAGCAGCATTTTGTTATGTCAAGTGAGTGCAATTTTACTATACAAACAGTTGTCCCTGTCTGTTGGCAGCGAAGGAGTTACTGTCCGAATTCCACAGGGATTGGAAGTGAACCCTTCCTAAGGCAGGGAGTTGGTTTCAATTTACAGAACACAAATACACAGGTGCAAAACTGGGTGGCCAGCTTCGGTTACAAATTCATTACTTCTTACCTGTTTTCTGGGGTCCTATCACCAGAAATTTGGGTAGGTGGTCACAAGTTTTGTCTCTTGACCAAATATCCTTATGTCGTTTATCATCACATGGGTTCTGAAGAAGAAAAGGCAGTTGTGTACATCATGCTGGGGTATCCTAAATATTTGCAAGTCTTTGCAGGTGGGAAGTGTTAGGCAGTAATGCCAGAGCCTTACACTAAGTAGTAAAATCCCGTATTTCCTCATAAGAGTTTACTTGTGGCAGATATTGATCTGGTACTGAGCATTCAGGTACACAGGGATCAAACTCTCAGGTATTTTCCAGGACCAATCCTTCCAGGGGTCCCAGAGAACTCAGTAAGGCTACACAGTTGTGCAAATCCTGGAAGGATTGGTGTCAAAATCCACACTCTGTGAGACTACTGCATTTCCTTCTCTCCATTAGCTGGGCTCATTTCATAAACTCAGAGTTTTTAGGCACCTAGGTGGTCTCTTTGAGTAAAAAATCAATGTGTATGTAATGGTTTTGCATGACTGAGGATTAAGTTCACTCATTAGAAAAAAAGAAAATAAGAAAAAAACATTAAAAAATTTATTTAATCAAGTATTCATTTGAGGTTAAAATGGAAACCTCTGAATAGCTTCAAGGCATTACTTTCTTAGGTGACAAAATGGTTTCAGATATATGGAACTTAGTGCCAATTATAATTTACATAAACACCCAAAAGTAAGGACAAAATAGAAATGTGGGATATTATTCATCTCCTTATCTTTCTACTACCTATGAATGCAAAATAAAAATGTGTGAACAAAGCATGCCACAGAAAAAGTTAGGATTGACTACTTCTTAAAGCAGTTATCACATGCATACTGTTTTTGCATAGTATTGGCTGGTAATAGAAGATACTTTCTGCTAGTGAATAAAGTTAACAAAATAAAATGGAGAAAATTATTAACTGATTTGAATTGCTGTTCCACTGATGCCAGTGGAAATATTATAGATTTAGACTTCTTTTGCATCTGGACCAAAAATAACAGGAAAAATTTCTGTTCCTTTTTGCTAGGATAAGCCCAGAATAACTGCCCAGATCTCCTTGGTGTCACTCTGGATTTATACCTACATAGTTGAAAGCACAGCTTGGCATATCATATTCTGAATAAGAGCCAGACTTCTGTAACAATGATTAGGTAATTACAGTGCTGAAGGAGGTTACAAGCATCACATTTGAAACATATAGTCTATACAGAAACCCTCTTCATTCTTAAACAGAACTGCCCATTCTGTGTTTGCTGCTGACCCCTCTGGCTCTCCCTTTTCCTTGCTGTTCCACTGAAGGGGTTTCAGGTGGTAGGAAACCCTCCTGGTAGCTACAGTGATCCAATGTTAGTGATTTCCCATTGAGGGGTCCAATGACTCTGCATCTCTTACACCTGGCTGGTTGAGAGCATCTTATGGGTAGTGCAACACAATTAGTGAACACAAGGCAATGCATCAGCAGAACCTACAAACAGGGAGGATGGGAAGGGAAGCTTTCTCACACATAAGTGGCAATTAGGGGCTTTTACCATGCCTGAGTTAGGGGGAGTGGAAGCTAATCCATTTCTGGTCAAAAGCAGTGATGTCTCAAGCATGCGTAAATAATCTAAGGTAGCATGCAGGAAGAAATAACGTACCTGAACATGAAGGGGGATTATTATATTTTTTATAGGAAAAGATTCTTATTTCAACAAATGGCTTGTAATTGGAGGAGAAAGAAGATGTGATATTACCTGCCAAAGAGGGTCTGTCTGCTCTGGAAAGAGCTCAAAGTACTTCTGAGCCAGCTGAACGGGGGGCAGTGTCTGCAGGTTCAGGTTAGTTGAGCTTTTAACAAAGTTGGCCAGGTTGACAAAGGTGTATAAGCCCAGGCGATCGTTCCCATAATTAGATAAATGGGTCATGAAGATGCTGATCTAGGAGGCAAGAGAAACTTTTCAGTTACAGGGTATCAGGAGATAGCGGCATCTGGATGGAAAGGTGGGCACAGGGGCTCCAAGAGGTTTGCTAAACCCTGTACACACCCCAAACCAAAAGGCAATAAAAATGTTAAACTAGTTGCACTTCCTGTCTTCTCTGTGAGGGTCACATCTCCAACCTTCTCATGTGTGCACTATTTCTTTAAAATCCCTTATCTGAAGGGATGTATTGCTCAAGAGCTCCCCATGGAGTGGCATTCAGGAGTTGCTCTTGGAGATATTTTTGTCAATATTATGTTTTGAGTTCTTTTTACAAGCAACATAGAAACTGTTTATTGCATGCTTTAAAGTTTACTTTGCTGTTCCTCATCCCTGGGCAGGTGTCTGGAAGGTGCTGGCAAATGTGAGCCCTCGGTTAGGAATCCCCAGCACTTCGGAACATCTGAGGGAGACAGCTTGCTGCTCTTCAGACATGTAGGCAAAGCTTAATTTCAGGGCTGCTATTTATGGAATTAACCTGAAAATCTGACTAATATGGTGTCTCCCATGAATGAAGGTTGGCTAATTTGTTTAAATTGGCAGAGCTGGAAGTAGGTAAGTTCTGAAATGTAAAGATTTCAAGCCTTTGTGAATGATGGTATCTCAGCTAAATATCACTGTCATTGTTTTCTCCTTAAAGCCAATAAGGCTGCCTTTTTGTCAGCCTTACTCTGGTTCTCCTGTATGTGTCCACTGGTCTGTAGATCTTATAATTTCTTTCAGAGGGATTAAGATAATTTGTAAGAATAACATGAAGAATATATTTCCCAGTATTTTCTTTACATGGGGTGATTAAACTCAGTTTTGCAGCTGCAAAGGCCTCATTTCTCTGTAGATGGTAATTTTTCAGTTTTATGAAGATACTATCAGACTGAGTGTTGTTACTTGACTCTTCTACTCAGTAAATTGGCCTAAGATAGGATGCGCAATTTAATTATGCTGTTATCAAGAAATGACATCAAAGTGGTAATGTTGCACACACAATGCAGGTCATTTTTTTTGCTGGTGTGCAGTCCCAGGGTTTTGTTCTAGCAGAAGAAAGGGCTGCTGATAAAAATACTGTGTCCTGACTTTCAAAATAACCATGGAATGCAAAACCACATGCTTTCCACTTAAACCATCTTGCTCTGCCAGCATGGTGCTTTGAGCATTAGCCCACAATGTTTAAAATCATGGCCATTAGTTTGTTAAATTATTGACAAGGCTTTTCATTCTTCTATAAGGTGAAGATGGATGGAGCTTAGGACAAAGTGTCCCTTATGGCCCATCTGCAGTGTGTTTACCCTGTGCTCACTTTATTCCACAAAAGGTAATTTGTTCCTCACTTTCATTCTGTACTGAGCCTCTCTTGAGCAAAGATTGTCAGCTGTGCAAGATCTGTGTTCTGTGGGCTTGACTTAACTGGAGTGAACACTGAAATTGCCCTAGACTTTGGGCAGGTCCATATGTAGTACCCCAGAAACAGAAGGAAGGCCATGAATCTTCTTTGGGCTTGCAGTCTACTGACCTTCTCCATCACTCCCCCAAAAATACCAATACAAACATATCCTTTTAAATTTAGAGTTCAGCTTCTTTGCGATATGACAAATGCTTCCTGCAACCCAGTTTTAAAATGGTGGAAAACACAGGAAATGTTGATAGAGAATATTATCTTGTCTCAGGAGTGTTTTTTATAAGTACTAGAGGGTCTGTCAATGACATTTAATATTGTTGCAGCAATGTAATATTACTGCAGCAAATAAAGTATGCAAGTAGATCTACTTGCTCTTTTTGCTTTCTTTACACTTGAATTAGAACGAGGTTTTCTTAATGTTAAAAGGTACTTATAGGAGATGTATATTAGCTTATTTTCAGAGTTTCATTAAGCTGCAGCCCAATACAAAGGTTCCAATTGATCACTCTTTATGGAGTCAAAAGATCTGGGACATCTCTCTTGACTTCTTTTATTCCATTGATTTTTTTTTTTTTTTTTTTTTTTAAAGTGAAAATCCCCCAAGTGTGGTGCATAATAGATGGGATAAAACCACAGCTAATTCTTTGCTATCTGTCTCTGAATCAGTTGAGACAAAAGGAGATGGGTATTAACTGTTCATGTTTACAGCATGGAGGGACACAAAAGTCAGTTTTCATGCTGATGCCTCAATCCATAGAAAATGCAATAGTCTAGAAATGTGCTGAGCTAGCACAGTGCTGCTGTGGTGGGCCTTGAGGGTGGTGCTGGGCTGCACAGTGCCAGTGCACTGCTTTACTGGGCTCTTTTGGTGTGCCCAAAAGGGCTTCAGAACCAGGCTTAGGGGCAAGAGTGAGGAGACCAGTGAAAATCAGTGACTGTCCCCTCTTGCAGTGCTCTATGCAAAATAGGCAAATAAAAGAGAAGGAGCTTTGCTTTTATACTTTCTGTGACAAAAAGAACACAGGCAGGCAGCACTTCACCAGGTGGGATAATACTTTCAGGAGGGAGTTAGGATCCTGTTCTGTGCAACAGTGCGCTACAGAGGCAATAAATTCTTTCAGGTTCCTGAGGCTGGGGACAGGGCTCTGTCTGCTTTGCATTAGTCTTGAGGTTAAACTAGCATAAGCAATCTGCGTTACACAAATATGCAGAAAGATACTGAGTAAAACCCTTTGCGGTCACTACACAGCCTATAGCAAACACGTTATGGGAAGTGATGTCAACTGTGTGTCAGTTTGTTCCCCCACTGGGGCCAGCCCAGTCACTCTGCAGGACAGCAGTGCTCAAGTGATGCTGTAGTTTGTTCTGATGTAGTATCTCATCAGCTTTGGCAATTGGTCTCTGTGCTATGAGATTGTCTGTAAACTAATGACAGGGTCGTCACACAATTTTACTATCTAGTTCTTTCTTCCAGGACTTTTTAGAATCAGTTATATCCAGAAATTATAGATATACATGGAATTTTCTATATGTAATATTTGTACTTGCATGCTTGCAACATATACATTAAATGAAATCTAGGTTATCTTAGTAGAGGAAAATAAAAAGCTTGCTTCAAAATTATTGGAATATAAACAATGCTGGATCTGCTTAAACTGCCTTCTCTACTCAGAGTTAGTGCACTTTCTCCAGATCCATAGCCCCGTGTACCTATTAGTGCAGAATAGAGGTTTATTTCCTCCTATAACTGCCAAATTCAATACAGTCTTAACTAAAAGCACTCATTTTTGGACAAAGGTTAGCTACCTGTCTCTGGAGAGCACTAGAATCCTGGTCTCCTCTAAGACTGGCAATCATATTTGTCTTTGTGTGTGGGAATCCCTCCAGCCTGAGGGAAATCTGCAGTTGTGTGTGTTTGTACAGGAGCTGATACTAAGCAAGGCTGTTTGATCTATGATCCCAGGAGCCTATGCTCCATAGCCACCTATGTCCTTGCCATTTATCCTAGTGAATTGAAACAATTCGCACAAAGCTTCTGGCTTCTCCTTGAGAATACCATATGGCTACATTCCAGAACAGAAATTCCTGGAAAAAGGACTGATAGAGTTCCAGCTTTCAGCTGAAGTGTAACCCAACTAAGCTCACTGGTGTACCTGGCCAGTCTGAAGGATCACTAAGATGACCCAGTATGTGATACTAGGAATCAAATATTGGCCCATATATGTTGATATTTGAACTTGTGCCTTTCCATCGATCTAGAATTTGCAGTTGAAAAATCAGTTATAAAAGTTATGTATACATTTGCTCTACCTCACTCAGCCTTCAATAATTAAATAGGATCATTGTTCCCTTTTAGGTCCTTTCCTTCTGCTCATCCTTTGGCCTTTCCCCATTGCTGGAAAAGGCCAGGAACAGAGGTAAGTCTTATGTGTGAATCCTGCTTCTCTGAGAGGAGCTTGTTCACTGTCTTTAACCACTTTTTTCCTCACTTCTGCACCTCTTAAATAACATTTGCAAGAAGGGACAAATTAACACATACAAAGTAAAGCAGGAGTGTAGCTCAACCTTGTGCAAACCCAAGACACTGGGAAATACATGGTGCAACATCCTGTTCTTGTAGAAATGTGGTAGTGTCTTTCCTGTTCTTCTCTGCTCCTCTCTTGCATGAATGTCTCTCAGAAAAATGGATTTTGCTGTTCCATCTTTTTCCATTGTGCTCAGAAAATGCTGTTGCATAGTTGCTCCAAGAGCAGCCTCTAATAACTGGATCTAGATGGCAGCATGTTGTGTTTCTGAATGTGTAAATGGGATGTCATGGCTAAGAAATGCAAAACTGTCAAGTGTTCATTTACTAATACCAAGCAGCTCTATGCTAGACTGACCACAGAAATACCTCTTTCTGTTTCAGGTGTTTAATATATTTCACATCTTGAACAGTCTTCTGTTATGGATTACAGACTTGTCTGGTACCTTATGATTCAGAGACCCATTCACTGATAATGAATCCCAGAACACTTGAGGCCTTAATGCAGCTGGTTGTGCAGCAGCCCAAAAAGCAAGCTGGAAGTGAGTTTTTTGTGTTGACAAAGCACTAATTTTAATAATGACAAATTGTTTTTCTAGAATTCAGCACTATTCATATTCATGACTCTTCTGCTACTGAAGCAAAATAATTTATATGCCTGAAAACCACTTTTTTTCACTTTTACTCTATTTCCACTCTGCACATCTTTTTTTTTTTATATTTTAGTATTCTTGACAGGATAATCAAATATTTTTGAAACATGATATCTCTACAGGAAGCAAAAAACCCACACTGTTTGGAAAGAAACACTTTTGTCTTTAATTGAAGGGGAAACAAAAATATTGAATAGTGTTATATTTCTTGTGCCCATATTCATTACAGTGTCTACACTGGGAATATCCCACTCTACATGTGTCTGCATTTCCCAGGAATCTAGCAATGAGAGGGGAAGCTGCGGTCGATCAGCAGTATTATGTGTCACTGGGACAGCCATAAAATGTTGTAGTATGTCTATGTTGTTTTAACATTCCCTATTCAAAGAGCAAAATTGTTTCTCATTTACCTCATTCTCCTTTTACATTATTTAGTTGGTATGATTAAATTCTTTTTTATTGACAGAAAAATCCTGTGCCTTGTACCATTCCCTATGAAGCTAAAGTTGTTGTGTTCATTATTTATTTTTATTTTCTAATATTTACCCAAGTCTCACTTCTAAAATAAAGGCTAAATCAAGACCACATTCCAACACAGTAACTGTTTCCCATGATACATACATCTTTGATACCCCTGGTGCAGAAGGTCCTAGATGAAGAAAGCCAGATAGGAGGTTCCACTCCTTTAAATATATATATATATATATATATATATATATATATATATATATATAAACCTGAATTTAAGAAAAGTGGTTTTTTTTTTACTGTTAGGCCATACTTTCAGAGTCTGTGAAAAACTAACTGCTGTTGATGAAGACATTATGCAGTCAGTGAGTGACTGCACTAGGGAGGCAAAACAAAATGGATTTTTTTATGCCTGTTAATTTGTCGCACTTGTGTAAGTGATCAGTGGTGCATCCAATTGTGACTGAAGTAGAATGAGTTCTGTGCAAATATGGCGCTGCCAGTTACATCTGTGGGCCCCAAGAAAGCTTTGCAAAAAATCTAGAGCAAGTCAGTCCTCCTGTTATAGCCAGAT